AAGACAGAATAAATCATCAAAGATGATATAATTTAGAAAATTCGACATAATTTTAATTTTTTTAGTAGTTTTTATTTTAAAATAAAATAAGATGAAATATAAGTATAATGATGTTTATAATAAGAATTAAGGACACGTCTAAATTTTGAATAAAATTTAAGCTTTCTCTTAAAAATGTTTTATGATATCTGAGTTATGAACTCTTTTTCATTTAATATTTTTTCATAATATTAGTAATATTAATGATGAGGATAAAGAGTTGAACGAATAATGATATATTCATCCCAATTTATGTAGGTGAAAAGAAATTTTAGAGATCAATATTATTCAATTATAAACCCAATTAAGTACAAAACATAATATAAGAAATGATACCAGTTTACCATAATAAAATTTATAGATTTTATAAAAATGATAACATAATTATTTACGTAAAATTATTATTTTATTCTCATTGTACTAATAATGACTTAATCATATATATAAAAGTTTTCGTAAATGGGTCTTCATCTTTTATCAGTCTCATTTAAAATTGGCTCTAAAGACTTCAAAATTAAAAGTTGACCAATAAGTGTAACCAAACATTATTAGAACTAGTGTCAAAATTTTGATAGGTATGACGGGACTATGATTCTTTAGAAAATTTGTAATTTATTTATCTCTTAAATTTTTAAAATTTATTTAAATATTTATAATTTTGATCTATTTAATTTTTCTTATAAATATTAAAATAATTATTAAATATATTTTTCTATTTTTTATTATTTTTTAATAATATATTATTTGTTTCATCAATTATATCATCGTGACAAAATACAATGTTTAGATATATTATTATATAAAAAAATTAACTTTTTTACAAAATAAAAAATTATTTATAAAAAAATATATAACTTAAAAAATAATTTATTTATTATAGAAAAAACTAATTTCACATATTTTTTTCATAAGGAATACTTATAAGATATGCTCACCCACAGTTATACAGGTCATAATGAATATTTATAATTTAATCCTAATGATTTATATTTGATAACTATATTTAGCAAATAATGAATAACCATTTCAATGTTTATAATATAAGCTCCACATAATAGGATTGATTGTCATAGGATAGAGCTGGAAAATTGACTAAAGGATTAAAAAAAACATAAATTTAAAGATTGACATATAAAAATCATAAACATAATAATTCTAATATATTTTTCTTATAAATACAATACATACAAATATTAATAAAAATATTAGTTATACTTTATAACTACATAACAAACCTTTATTTAACACTATAATTCATGAATTAATAAAATAACAATTTAAATCTTATTATGCCTCATCGTTAATGTCATCTGTTTAGAAAATATGGGTTTTTTGCGGACCATGGATAATCATAGATATTTTTTATTTTGTTTTATTTGTATTTTAAATAAAATTATTTATAAATATTTTTTAAAATGTATATATTAATAAATTTTCATCATAAAATATCATTTAAATAAAAAATATAAAAATTTATTTATACAAAATATAAATTTAAGTAATATTTTTTTAAGAATAACTTAATTTCATAAATTTTGAAAAAAAATCAAATTTATAAATTTTAATTTTACATAATTTTTGTAATAGTTAATGTTTTCTCACCAATAATCTTATTTGAACAATTTTAAAAAAATATTAAATAAAAATCGATTAATAGATAATAGATATTTACAAGTTGATATTATGATATTCATCCTCGTTCCAATAATAAATAAGTAATTAAAATATTTGCATAGGTTGGGTATTTATTTAACGTATTCATAATGATGGATTTTACATATTTTTTTTTGTCATCTCTACTTGTTATACCACAATTAACATTGTATATTAGTATCAAAATAATATTTTTATAATATTATTATAACAGTTATAATTTATTCTAATGATAATTTTTAATTAAAATTATTATTTAATAATAATTTAATTTTAAATTATCATACAAATATTTATTACGACAATTTAACTTTATTTTTTATATTAGTTTAATTTTGAATTGACACGTAATACGTTTTTTATTTATTTTAAACCTTAGTATTTTTTATATTTGTTAAAAATTGAATTGACATAAAAAAATTGAATTTTATGACAGTTATAATAAATACTTATAAATAAGATTTTGTAAATATCTAAGATTTTTTATCAATTCAAAACTAAGTCTTTATAAAAAGTGTTCAGACTTAAATTTCATAAATTTTTTTTTTGCATTTTTTCGTCTTTCTTTTTTAACTTTTTTTTCTTTGCTTCAACAACAAATCACCATGCGGAATCTACTTCTTATTGCTTATGCAAATTAGAAACTTAAGAGAAATAAAATAAATTTTGATAAAATTTTGCTTACTAAATTTGGTTGACTTTTTTCTATTTTATAAATGATTGTTTAACATGTAATTAAATGATTTTTTATCTTAAAGTTTTCATATATTCTTTTGCTGCATATTATGAATGTTTGTATTTACATGATTTTTGTTTGATGGATAATGATGTAATGTAATGAGATGAATTAAGTTGGTATGAGATGATTGATAATGATTTGTGAGATTGTTAATATATTGTTTGTAAGTCAGTGGTTATTATACGATGGTAATACTATTATAATTGAATATAATGTAAGTATTCAATTGTAGAATGAATAGATAAAATATTAAGACTTTTACTGATAATGAATGTAACATGAACTACCATGTGTATTTCGAGTAGAAATAAAATTGTAAAACAATTTTATAACTAAATATAATTGAATATTTATGTATGTTCGTTTATTTTAAAATTGTCTATTTATATTTATTTTAATATACTTTTTTTGTTTGAGAAATGTTTTATTTTATGTATTTTTTTTCTCAAATTTTACCACTTCTAAGCACTTATTAAGGTTTTTTCTTTTTTTCAATGATGAAACTCCATATGAATGAGGTAAGATAGATTTCTTTGGTTTATGGAAAAGGAAGAACAAACATAGAAAATAATTTGATTCTCTATAACACGTAATTTTCCTACTACTCTAATGCCTTTAGCTATGATGATGGAAAATTTAGCAGCTAATAACATTTCAGGAACAAAAACTTAATTTTCTAATGCACCTTTCTACTTCAATATGTACATTGATCCATGAAGATAAAGAGAGTTTCTATCATATTAACAGTTTTTGGCTCAATAAACTCTTTTATTCTATTTTTGACATGTTCATATTTTTTTGTCCAAAATGTTTAGATTTTCAAAACTCGTTATCAATGCAACAATAGTACTTACGTGAAGTTTCTAAAATAATTCACTTTTCCAATATTAATTATTTTTGTGGGTTGTTTTGAAATATTTGGTTACTCAACAAGCATAAATCATTGCTATAATTACCCCCACCAACAAAAAGAAAAAATATATAACTTGACACTATAAATTAAATCATCTTCTTTCGTGAGTCATGCATGACTTGCTTGAAATGTTTTTACCATTTTCAGTGTAACTTCAAAAGAAGAAAACAAAGACAAAAGTAAATTTTAAATTTAAAACATAGACTCGAGGTAAGATATTTTGGCTGTTTCCGTAGTCACGAGAATTTGCTCTTTTTATTATACGATGATGCGCCTGTTGCTGTTATGATATAGTTTAGTTCTTTGAATCGCGAGATTTTGTGCATCTCGTACTCGCACGAACCTCACGTGACTCTTTCCTTTTTTTGTATTCGCGTCACGTGACTTTACTCCACGCTCTTCGGCTTTGGCTTGCAAGAAAAGTCAGTGCCTTTTTTTTTGACGTCATTTTATTACCATATACTATAATTTTCTATTTGAATTTCAAGTAATTTTTATTTGTTTTAAAAAATTAATTTTCTATTCTCATTATTGAATATCAATTATTTACCTTTTTATAACTCTTATTTTTAAAATTATATTTAACATAATTTTAATTAATTATCAACATACTTTTAAAAAACAGTTTTTAATCTCTCATTTTTTATTCAAGTTAATTTTAGTTCTTATATTTTAAAATAATGATTTATATTTTAAATTTTTAATAATTAGAGATTTTTTTCTTTATGAAATTCAAGATATTAGAACTAGAAATGAAATTTACTAATTGTAAAAAATACGAGTATTAAAATAATTATTTTAAAACATTAAATCGAAAATTGAATGACTTAAAGTATATTTTACCTTTTTGTAATAATAAACTTTTACTAGTGTTAAAAAATCTTATTATTTTATTTTATTTTTAACGAAAACACATTTCAATATAAATATATGGTTTAAAGTAAATAAGATATGCACGTAAATCACATAACAATTTCCAATTAATTTTGGTCAAAATTACTTTCGCAAAATTATAGACCAATTAATGCACAAATTCACATACACATTTACAGCTAATATTGCTTAATAATTCATTGGCAAAACAAAAACATCACTTATAATCTACACAGCACTCTGAGTGTATTATTAGGAAAAACAATTATGGATTCAACTACTATTATTACTACACATTACATAAACACAAACACATATATACATACATACACGTACACCACAACACTCGCCCACTTTGTCTCTCTTTGTCTCATCTCTTCTCCGTTGAATTTCCAACCCGTGCCTGCTTGGATAGATTCTCTTTCCCTTTTTTTCTCCTCTCTCTTTCTTCTACACCCACATTTCTTGTCACTTTATTTAATTAACCCTTTTGTGATGTGTTTGCTTATAATGCTGCAAGCTTGTGCCTTTCACCAATGAGAAAGGGTAGTGGTTTGTAGTACTAGTAGCAACCTGGCACCCCATCTGTTGCAAAACCGAATTGCTCAAGAAAAGAATCATTACACCAAAGGAAGCAGCTTTCTTCGGTTTCACTCTTAGTTTGATAGCCTTTCTATATTTTGCTTCTCTCTTTACTATGAGCATGGAAGAGGCTAAGCAGGGAGATTTTTGAGTGGAGTATTTGGTATTTGAAAGTTTGGTGTTGAGTGAGTTAAGGGTTCTATGGACACCAAAGGGAGACTAGTTGCAGGGTCTCATAACAGGAATGAGTTTGTTCTTATCAATGCTGATGAGACTGCAAGAGTGAGTAGTCTCAATCTTTCTGATTTCTCAGTTCCTCTGAAGATTTTGAACTCACATGGCCTTCAAAAAAGAGTCTCTTTTCTGAGTTTGTCCTTATACTTCAACTCATCTCACAAAGCCACGTCGAGAATTTCAAGAAGGAAATTCCCCATTGTGGTTTTTTCTTTTTTGGATTTCCATGCTGATTTTTTTGACCCAATTGGGTTCTCTTTCCATTTTGAGTCCTTCATTTCATTCCTAAGGGAAATTTGGTTCCTTATGAGTTTTTATTCTTTTGGAAATGGTTTTTAACAATGTTTTCTTTTAAGCACAATTAGAGTTTCAAGCTGAAATAATTAAGCTAGTTCTCTCTCTCTTTCTCTCTCTACCGCGGGGAGGTGGACTTCTATTTTGTTTTTGTGTTAATTGTGGAAAACTTTCCAGCCAAAACTCTTTTCATTTTCATTCCAGCTTCAAGGCGAAAGATACAGGAAAAGAAAAAAAAGAGGTTTTTGCACCAATCTAACTTTGAAAAAATTGAGTCCATTCAACTTGGTCCTTTTTCTGTTCTCTCCTTGCTTCTTGTTATTTTTCTCTTGCCATGGTTTATCAATTTCAGAGCTTGTGGATTTTTTTCCATGAAAGTCATAAACTTGATGCTACATATTTGAAGTAAGAAAGGTCATGTGTATTTACAAAAAAAAAGTGTAACTTCCATCTTCTTGTAAAGTACACTACCATCCATTTTTCCTGATCTGATCAACGTTTACATTATCTCTGTTATTTGCAGGTGACTGCTGTCACAGAATTAAGTGGTCAAATTTGTCAGATCTGTGGGGATGAGTTAGAGGTTACAGTGAATGGGGAGCCATTTGTTGCTTGCAATGAATGTGCATTTCCTGTGTGCAAACCTTGCTATGAGTATGAAAGAAGAGAGGGTAACCAAGTTTGTCCTCAGTGTAAAACCAGATATAAGCGCATCAAAGGTGAAGAAGATTCAACCAACTTTCACTCTGATCTATTTATGTCTGTGTGCTTATGTTTCTATCTCACCTTATTTTTCCCTTTGTTATATTGAAGAATGCATATGGCAAAGCTTTTAAATATATATAAAATATTATTGAATAGAATTATAAAATTTGTGGGTCTCACTTATTTAACGTGTTTCATTCATGATTCTATAGTTTTCAATGAATTTCAACCAACAATAATCTGATGATAGATTTGGCTAACACTGCAACTGATTTCAGGTAGTGCTAGAGTTGAGGGTGATGAAGAAGAGGATGACACTGATGATTTGGAAAGCGAGTTTGATATTGGAGGCAATCTTAGGCGAGATCATCATCACATGGCAGAGTCCATGTTCTCTACACGCCTTAACTATGGTTCAGTCAATGGTTCAGTGATCCACACACCATCAGAGTTTGATGCAGCTTCTGTGGCTTCTGAGATCCCTCTTCTGACATATGGTCAAGAGGTCAGTTCATTTGCATCACTTGTATGTCTTATCTTTTTCTAAATTTGAACATACTATTTTTTCTGCCTATTTGTAATAATTAGTTTTTTAATCAAGGATGTTGGCATTTCTGCTGATAAACATGCACTTATTCTTCCACCATTCATGGCTCGAGGGAAACGGGTTCATCCTATGCCTTTTCCTGATTCATCTGTACCTGGTAAGTAATTTTTCTGGACAAACATTGTAGCATTTGTTGTTGTTGTTGTTCTCCAATGAGATTTGGAGTTTTACCTCGGTAATGTACATTAACATTGAATGGAATAATTTATTATACTAACTATTGAGGTAAACTTCAACTCTTTTTGGAGAACAACATCAACAGCACCTGTGTAAGTTTTGTTCGAACTTTTATTACACAAATCACCCAGATGAAACACTAATATTAATATGAGAGTGTACTAAAATTAGTAAACTACACCAAGGTATTGTCCAATTGGCAATAACATTCTAGTTGGCCCAGCCCAGGTTTCGCTGTCCTTATTTAATGTGACAATTAATGTTGGTGATGCAGTTCAACCCAGACCTATGGATCCTAAAAAGGATATAGCAGTGTATGGTTATGGAAGTGTTGCATGGAAGGAAAGGATGGAGGATTGGAAGAAAAAGCAAAGTGAAAAACTTCAGGTGGTTAGGCATGAAGGGGGTAAAGACAGTGATGAGCTGGATGATCCTGACTTGCCAAAGTAGGTCCTATTGTCTAATTCCTACTCTTATAATTTGTTGGTTGAAAGTTTATATAAAACTTGCTGGTTTTATTTGTGGTTCTCATTTGTCAACTTTAACTGTTAACATGTTTCAACTTATTTAAAGCTAAAATTGTGTGCTTCAATCTTAGAGCATGTCCAACTTATTTTGGCCCTTACAAACAGCTAAATGTTAAACTGCAAATATTAGAAGATTATTTACTAAAACCATAAATTTAAACCATTCTCTGGTAGTTAGAAAGTTACAATTTGTAACATGGAAAATAATAAGAAAAATAATTTGCTTGTGAATAGTTTTCTATATTCAATGAACTAATTAGGCTTAAATTATGTTTTCTTTATTTATTTTGCAATTATTTAACTTTAAGTTAATCTCTAATAATCTTTCTTTTACTAAAGATCATTTAGCAGTTTTGCTTTTAAATATTAATTTAGGTAAAAACTAGCCTCTAATTATCCATAAATCATCATTATTTTAATTTTTATCTTTAATTTATGTTTATTAAAATTTCTAATTATTTAGTTGTAAATATTTGATAAAAAACCCAAGATCACATCTTTTTATGAATTATTCTTCTTATACTTATTTTAAGTTTCAATAATATTTATTTAAAATTTATATATACACCTGCTAAGCATTTCATCACCAACATTATTACATTTTTATTGTGAATTTTTGTCACCTTTCTAGGTTTGGCTAAGAGCTATACAAGGTTGTACATTAAACTTTCTTCTTAATTCTGCACCAATATTTCTAAAACCAGATTATATTTCTTGCACTCATCAAGAAAATCATAATTGTTATCATTGCCTGACCAATAATCAACTAAACAATAATCAATCTTCATGGTAAACAACCAAGATTTTACCAACTTAACATTTTCATATTAAAGTTTACTCAATAAATTTTGTCTACAATCCTTAGTTTGACATTTTCCTCCTCCTACCTCTCTAATATGCATCATGATCTGCTCACCAGAGAGGTTTCAAAATACTTACTTTTGTCAAGCTTGACAAGTGCTGAAGAAGAAAAATTGGTTTTGCCAAGTGTCTCAAAATAAGTATTGCTAAAGAAAAATTTATATTACAAATGAGTGGCTTTACCAAACTTCTTGAAATAGTGAAAAAAGTTGAGCACAACTTGGACTTCTATTCGACGATGTTAGAAATTGTACTAGTTATTTAATCCGCCAAGTAACTATTTATCTATTTTGAGGATAAGAACACATTTTGTTCCTTCCTCCATCCACCAATTCCCACTACTATGTGCAATAGCATCCATTTTTTGTCCTGTGTAAAGATTGCATAGCAACTGAAAATACACCACTAGCAATTATACTGTCTTGCATATTTATTTACTATTTCCTTTCTGCTCAATTTGTGATTATCTAATCTGAATTCCTGTTAACAGAATGGATGAAGGTAGACAACCACTTTGGAGAAAGCTGCCAATTAGTTCAAGCAGGATAAATCCATACAGAATCATAATAGTACTCCGGATTGCCATTCTTGGCCTCTTTTTCCATTATAGAATTCTCCATCCAGTCAATGATGCATATGCATTGTGGCTCACATCAGTAATATGTGAAATCTGGTTTGCTGTGTCATGGATTTTTGATCAGTTCCCAAAATGGAGCCCAATTCTGCGTGAAACATACCTTGATCGTTTATCTCTAAGGTATTTGGTCTTTCTCTGCCTCTCCTTATATGTGTGTGTGACATAAGACATTATTTGTTAATGCTTTACAAATTACAACTTCACAGGTATGAGAAAGAAGGAAAGCCATCTCAGTTAGCTGATATAGATGTGTTTGTCAGTACAGTTGATCCTATGAAAGAGCCTCCACTTATTACTGCAAACACAGTCCTGTCTATCCTTGCTGTTGATTATCCAGTGGAGAAGGTTGCATGCTATGTCTCAGATGATGGTGCTGCAATGCTTACATTTGAAGCACTCTCTGAGACTTCCGAGTTTGCAAGAAAATGGGTTCCATTCTGCAAGAAGTTCAGCATTGAACCACGGGCTCCAGAATGGTATTTTGCACAGAAGGTTGACTACTTGAAGGATAAAGTGGATGCAGCATTCATAAGAGAGCGTCGGGCCATTAAGGTTTGAAATTGTTCCTATCATGTCATTTTCTGACCAAAAAGAAAAGCCATTAACATAAAATTTAAATTTTTTGCATGAAATATGACTAACTGAGAAACGTAGTTTATGCCAGGGAAAAGTTGAGTTATTTTTCCTCAGATTCCCTTTAATCATGATTGAGTTTTACTTTAGGACAAAACTTAGATGTAGTTTCTGAAGTGTTTTCAGTGTTCTCCGATCAAAATTAAGTTCTACTTGAAAAAAATACATAATACAGGTTTGCATTAAAGATTAATACAGTTACTGAGGTAAATTCCAATTGTGATTGAATAACAATATTAAAAGCACCTAAAGAATTATATCTAAGTTTTGTCCTTTATTGCTGTCTATCATCTTTCATCTCTTCTATTGGCTTCAACCAATAATTGGTTGTATTTAGTGTTCTCAATTTTGTTGACACAGAGGGAGTATGAAGAGTTCAAAGTGAGGATTAATGCATTAGTGGCAATGGCTCAAAAGGTTCCTGAGGATGGTTGGACCATGCAGGATGGTACTCCATGGCCTGGGAACAATGTCAGAGATCATCCTGGAATGATACAAGTGAGTACCATGTTAAGATGCTGCTTTTGATCTTCTCTGTAGATTGACCATGTTGTGTTCACATGGCATGTTGTATGACCTCAACTGTGATGGTATTCTACTACAGGTTTTCCTTGGTCAAAATGGTGTTCGTGACATTGAAGGAAATGAATTACCTCGACTTGTCTATGTGTCCCGTGAGAAAAGACCTGGATATGAGCACCACAAAAAAGCTGGAGCTATGAATGCTTTGGTAAAGTCCCTTTTCTCAAAATAAAACTTAAAACTTTCCTATTTTTCTTCTGTCTCATTTTCCTTCTAACATTTTTTCTATTGCTTTGTGGGTTGATTGTGAAGGTGAGAGTCTCAGCAATAATCACAAATGCTCCTTACCTACTTAATGTTGATTGTGATCACTACATAAATAATAGTAAGGCTCTTCGTGAAGCCATGTGTTTTATGATGGATCCTACATCAGGGAAAAAAATATGCTATGTACAGTTTCCCCAAAGATTTGATGGGATTGATCGTAATGATAGATACTCAAATCGCAATGTTGTATTCTTTGATGTAAGTAAGAATTTGCTATTGTTGTTTGAATATATATACTCTTATACATACATAAATATGTGTAGTTTTTAGTTTGTTTTGGAGGAAAAGCTGATATTTGTTCAATATGTATAGATCAATATGAAAGGTTTGGATGGCATCCAAGGACCAATATATGTGGGAACTGGGTGTGTCTTCCGGAGGCAGGCATTTTATGGATATGACGCCCCTGCTACGAAGAAACCACCAAGGAAGACATGTAACTGTTGGCCTAAATGGTGCTGCTGTCTGTGTTGTGGATCTAGTAAGAAAAAGATTAAAGCAAAGTCAAGCGTGAAAAGGAAGATTAAGAATAAAGATGATACAAAGCAAATGCATGCACTAGAAAATATTGAAGAGGGAATTGAAGGTATGAAATGCCTCAAATTGGCCTTGTGTTTCATTTGTAAACATTCAGATGTATTCTAAGACTCTGAAAATAGTTCTTTGAGATTTACTGAGCTTAACTTTGCACTACTATTACAATATATACTTATGTAGCATATTTTTATCGTATTTGCATTCTTATGAAGAAACTAACCAGTTTTGTGTTCCTCTTGAAACCTCAATCACAGGAATTGACAATGAGAAGTCCTCACTAATGTCTCACCAGAAGTTTGAGAAGAGATATGGGCAGTCATCTGTTTTCATAGCTTCAACACTCATGGAAGATGGGGGTATTCCAAAAGCAGCAAGTTCTGCAACACTCTTGAAAGAGGCCATCCATGTTATTAGTTGTGGTTATGAGGATAAGACAGAATGGGGGAAAGAGGTATGCTATCTGTTTTAGATTTAAGGCCTTGAAGCTCTTTTAAGCCATCGTCTACATGTATTTAGATCTCTGCAACATTTGTCTTTCAGGTTGGGTGGATATATGGCTCAGTTACAGAAGATATTTTAACAGGTTTCAAGATGCATTGTCATGGTTGGAGATCTGTGTACTGCATGCCTAAAAGGCCTGCTTTCAAGGGTTCAGCTCCTATAAATCTATCAGATCGTCTGCATCAAGTTCTTCGGTGGGCGCTTGGATCTGTTGAGATCTTTTTCAGTAGGCATTGTCCTATATGGTATGGTTATGGTGGTGGCTTGAAGTCGCTGGAACGATTCTCTTACATAAACTCAGTTGTTTATCCTCTGACTTCAATTCCCTTAATTGCCTACTGTGCATTGCCAGCTGTTTGTCTGCTCACTGGGAAATTCATTGTCCCTGAGGTAGGATTGATATTTTCAACTTTTAATTTCAATCCTCAAACTGAGGACAATTTATATCTTAGGAATACATAAACATAGGAGTAACTTCTGCATAATTACAGAGCCTATAGGCACAACCAATCAAAAGGTGAAGATGTATTATAATCATAATATAGTCTGTGGTAAAGTGTGTGCTACAAAGTTATTCTAATATTATCTCAAACTTTTGATTAGGAGTACTTATAGGTATGTAAAGTGCTAACACCAGATTCAAGAATTATTTAAACAATAAAATAGAATATGATGCACTTTATTGTGTTTTTGACGAATGCTTTGTTTTATTGTTCTCAGATAAGTAACTATGCCAGTATCATTTTCATGGCCCTATTCATCTCTATAGCTGCAACTGGAATCCTGGAAATGCAGTGGGGAGGTGTTGGTATACATGATTGGTGGAGGAATGAACAGTTCTGGGTTATTGGTGGTGCCTCCTCACATCTGTTTGCTCTCTTTCAGGGTTTGCTCAAAGTTCTGGCAGGAGTTAATACAAACTTCACTGTCACATCCAAAGCTGCAGATGATGGAGATTTTGCTGAACTCTACATCTTCAAGTGGACATCCTTGTTGATCCCTCCATTGACCCTACTAATCATAAACATAATTGGAGTCATTGTTGGTATCTCAGATGCTATAAACAATGGCTATGATTCATGGGGTCCTTTGTTTGGAAGGCTATTTTTTGCCCTTTGGGTCATTGTCCATCTCTACCCTTTCCTCAAGGGTGTCATGGGAAAACAGGAAGGTGTTCCTACCATCATATTAGTCTGGGCCATTCTTCTGGCTTCAATCTTAACACTACTTTGGGTGAGAATCAACCCATTTTTGGCCAAAAATGATATAGTGTTAGAAATTTGTGGATTGAAGTGTGACTAAGGTAATGCAAGATGGAAGGCATGGTTTGATGTTTTACACAGACAAGTCCTGCAACATGCATAAATTTTTGGTCAAGGACACATCTCTGGATGCAGTATTATCTTTTGGTGAGAGCTGCCACTGAAAAAAAAAATGTTATTTGTGGCGGGTGTTTGTAGATACAACATGTTTGAGAGGTTTCATTATTCTTTTTATACATGTGCATTATCTAAATTAGTCTGAAATCACAGGTGAGATGTAATTTATGACTTCTTTCTGAATAAGGCATCTCATATATGTAATCATAAATGTTCTCATGTGTTTGAAATCCCCTATAAAAAAGGGGATTTTTGGTTGGTTTTGGGACTGTTGCACCACGTGAATAAAACTTCTACAGTGTATAGTATTTTCAAATCCATGTAGTATCTTCAAAATAATGCAAAGCTAAGTGTAGATTTGTGCATTGAGTTGGTCTTGAAATTTTCTGCCAATTTTTTTATCCCTTTATGTGCCTCAAAACTGTTTTTTGGCCAAATCTTGCATTTCCTCCTATGGTGCATGAATGTGTATAAAGAAGAGTTAATAAAGTGGTTATCTTAGTTTATGTTACAGATTAAAACATGTTAGAAAAAACACATATGACAGCACAAGTTAAATGTAAAGGTTTAATTTTTAATACATTTCCTATGAATTCTAATAAAAAAGAATTGAAATTTTTAACTAGTGTTTGGGACACTGCTATAAGACCCAATTCTAAATTGGTAGCTGGAAATTAATGAGGTAGTTGAAGTGTCAACATCACAGTTGATGCTGATGGGACATGCTTATAAATTATCACCATTCAGAGTTCTGAGACTTTTTGTACCTGCAAATTAACTTGGAAAAGAATGTCACGTGAACTAATTTTAGAACCACATGTTTCCCATCTCGTGAAAGCTGAATATTGGGTCATTTTGCAATCTCTCCAAGTAAATGATTTTTTTTTGTTGAGTATGCAGTATTGTCTTCGAACAACTTGGCCTTCTTGTTATGTTGTAATTTGTTCCGAACAAAACACAAACACTCCTGTTCTCATATCTCTGGTAGAGCTTTTAGAAAGGATTCATAGTATGTTTGATGGAGAGAAAAAGGAAATAACTTGTGCATTATTTCAGTTTAATGAGCCTGTTAAAATATGCAACCAGATTTTGAAATAAAGATGATGAAAGTTATTAGAATAATGTTATGATTTGTCCACTGTATATATTAGACTATATGTAATGAAAAATTGAACTTTCAACACCTACTTTTTTCACATTCCACGAATAATTATGACTTTCTCAATCATAGTAATATATACACGAGTGGAAGATTTTGGTTTAGTTTCACAATCTTTAAAAAAAATCTTTACTTTTCATATTTTCAAATAACTAACTTTCAATTTTTTACCCTAACAAAACAAAGGGTAGGGGTGTATTTTATAAACTAAAATTAAAATAACCATAAAAGGTTTAAAACGTGACATGATTTTAGTTTTTACTGCTTTGGAGTTTAGAACCTAACACGTTTCCTAATATTTAAGATTTTTCATTTGAGTTTTAATTCGTTTGGTTAATAAAGTGCACAAACAATAAAATTTTGGAGACACATGGAATAAATAGAGATATATAATTTATAGAAATATAATTCACATTCACTCTAGAAAGACCCAACGCATATTTCACTAAATAACAAAATTCACAACTTTCTTCTTGTTCTTTCTATGTCCTTTTGTTTTGTTCACTTTCCAGGGACAAAGTTAGTGGCATAAGCCCAAGCATTGTTGTTGACTGGGTCAGCAAGGTGATCTGCAAGATTCTCCAATGGGCCCTTTCCAGTGACAATGGCTTGAACAAAGAATCCAAACATGGAGAACATGGCCAACCTACCATTCTTCAACTCTTTCACCTTCAACTCAGCAAAGGCCTCTGGGTCATCAGCAAGGCCCAATGGGTCAAAGCTCCCACCTGGGTAGATTGGGTCAGTCACCTCACCCAGAGGCCCACCGGCAATACGGTAACCCTCAACTGCACCCATCAAGATAACTTGTGTGGCCCAGATGGCAAGGATGCTCTGTGCATGGATCAGGCTTGGGTTGCCCAAGTAGTCAAGCCCACCCTCACTGAATATCTGAGACCCAGCCTTGAACCACACAGCCTCACCAAACTTGACACCGTTGCGGGCCAAGAGTTCCGGGAAGACGCAGCCCAAGGCTCCCAACATGGCCCATCTGGAGTGGATGACTTCGAGTTCACGGTTTCTGGCAAAAGTCTCTGGGTCAGCAGAAAGGCCAGCAGTGTCCCAACCGTAGTCACCTGGGAATTCACCGGTGAGGTAAGATGGGGCCTCACCGGAGAATGGGCCCAAGTACTTGACACGGTCTGGGCCGTACCATGGGCTTCCGGAAGAGACAGACTTGGAGGCAGTTTTCCTCATTGAAATCCTTCCACCGGAAAGCTGAGGGGTGGAAGGAGAAAGCTTGATTGCTTGGCCACCCAGTGATGGTGAAGAGAGAGCCATTGTTGATGCAGCCATTCTAGTGTTGTGGAATGTAAGTGAAAGTGAAGAGAATTGTAGAAAAGTTGTTGTAATTTGGGTAGGCTAGTTAAGCTATTTATATAGTTGAATTGATAAAAATGTCTTATCTGAATATCTTATGAGATCTATATTTGAATTTCTATTGGTTTGGTTTTGGAGTATGGTTTATGTCCACATGCTTCTTCTCTTACTACTTTGATTCTTTTCCTTACCTTGGCATCATCAGGGATGAGATATCTACAACATATCATTAAATGCCTCTTAGACATTGCCATGTAGGATTTTGGATAGGTTGTATCAAATAAGTAAAATAGGTATCCAAGGTTCCAAGGTTTCTGTATCTTACATTTACAGTTTTTGTTGTTTGTGAAAACTCAAAAGGATTTACTGAAACCTAAATTTATTTTTTCTATGGTGCCATTGTTTGTTATTTGTACTCAACAAGTGCAAGGAACTAAATAACAAAATATTGTTTTCTTAATATATTTTTTATTTTAATTTATAAATTTATGATTCCAGTCATATCACATAACTTTTACTTTTTTATGAAAATATATTTAATTAAAATAATTGTTTTATAATCTACTTGAGTAAAGGTAAAAAATATAATTACTAAGTTAGATAGTTTTTTTAATAGTATGCACTTAAATTAAAAAGATATATTAATACTATATCAGTTATGTAATAACTTATAACTGAGATGTTTAAATTAAAGTATCTTTTTTTTACTATGTTATTTATATGTCTTAACATTTATTAATATTTTTAAAGAAAACTAAAATCAACACTATATTTGACAAGCGATTTAATCCAGATTGCTTTACATTAATTGAATAAAATGGAATTTAAATTTTAAACTAAATTGAATTATGAACTTAGAAAGTAAAAGTGATTAGAATATTTATGCAAATACTCCAACTTTTACCAACTTATGTCATGTTATTGTTGATAGAAAAATCATGTGTCTAAATTATGGATAGAATGAACCAAATCTTAAAATAACTAAGAAAAGCAAAGAAAACAAAACAAAATAATTGGGTGATTGGAGGCATAAACTTGACCTAACAACAAAAAGAGAGATAAGAAAAAAAAAATTTATCTCAACATAAAAGGATAGTATTTGAGATGAATATATTTTAGTTTATATATTCATGTTATACAGAGAGATGATTTGGAAAAAATAAAATTTAATATATCTAAAATTAAATTAGTTCTTTTTGTTGTTCAAATTCAAAGAGTTTTCCGTAGTCATTAGAAAACATGTTATTTATGATAAGAAGGAAATATTAATATCATAAATAAGGTATTCATTGTCAAACAAAATAAAAAAATATATATGCTATAAGCACCTATAAGTAATTATGGTAAAAATGTTAACACTTAATTATATATGAATTATTGATATTGGAACTACAAATCATATGATATTTGATCATGTGAAGGTTGTCCAAATTAAAATATCTATGTAAATATATGTTTCTAATACAAATGAAAACTAAACCCAAATTATCAGGGAAAAATCTCTAAATCTTATTAGTGCTTTAAATTTCGATTTTGTCTTGATTAGTCATTATTTAAATTGTAATTTTTTATCTATTTTTAAAATAACAATTGATTTATCTTATGTGATTATTTTTTGGCGTGACTCTTATGTTCTTAAAGACATCAAAACAAAATAATCAATTGGTTATGATGCTAGGTGAGAAAAATTGGATTACATAGATTTGTCAAAAAAATTTAATGAGTCATACTAAGTTTTAGCTGTTGATATATAACTTTAAGGAAAAAAATAAAATATATAAAATCTGGTTGTGGCATTGATGTCTTGGTCATCCCTCATTTGGGTATTTAAAAAAGTTATATTTTCTACTTTATTTTAAAAACATGATGTTTCTAGTTTTAAGTGTGATGTTTGTGAACTAAAGAGTCATAAAACTTCAATTCCATTAATTTTAAATAATATTTTATGGTGATACATTCTGATTTATAGATTTCATCTAAAATCTAAACTTTAGGTGATTAGTTTGTTATTGCTATTGATAATTATATAAAAATGACTTGGGTGTACTTAATAAAATCTAAAAATGGGATAAGTTTATTATTGAGAAATTTTCATAGAATGATAAGAACTCAATATAATGCTCAAATTCAAGTTTTATATAATGACCATGACAGGGAGTAATGTTTAGAATTTAAAGGAATTATTAATCAAATTACCTGTCTCAATATGTCTCAACAAGATGGATTATTGAGAGAAAAAATTAACATTTTTTAGAAGTTGTTTGCGTTTAATTGATTGGAGATACACATGTCATTATTTTATTATGGAAAAACTCTTACTTCAATAGTATATTTAATAACTTGTATTCCCTCAAGTTCTATTGAGTTTAAGACACATTTTGAAAACTTCCATAATTTAACTATCATTTTGATAGTTTATAATTTACTCCCTTATGAATTTGAGT